CCTCCAACTGCCACCACCATCACCCAAGATCCACCCTTGCTACGTGTTTGTCTTGTTTGTTACTAATCCATAGTTTCAGGTGTCGTGGTGTTGTATTTTCTCTTTCAAGTATGTTGGTTGTAACCTCTTATTTGCTTTCAGTAATAATATTTATTTTTCCTCTTGTTGTTAGGATTAACCTTGAAATCATGTATGTAAATGCATTCAACAATAAACAAGTTTGATTGATCTTCCATCCCAAAATCTGGCACGTGGTGTTGAGGAACTTTTTGCCCACTGTATAATCATCTTCTTCCTCAAACTCCATTTTTTACCCTCCCTAACTTCGTCTCCAATGTCTTTCTTCACTATTCGAAACTCCCTATGTAGAGTCCTCATATGGATTGATTTCATCTCATTGGCTTCTCCTTAGTACCATTCATGCCTTTTCTTCTCATAGTGAGACCGCTCTCATAAATGTCCTTGCAAAGCTTTCTCCCCTAGCGAAAAAAAAATTTGAATTTTCTGATTTGTGTTGAAAAAGTGAATCGATGTAAAGGATAATGTCACATTTAGAAGAACCAGAACAATCCGTTTGAAGTCGACGAAAAACGGTGGGAAAATCGCGTCGAATACTCCCTTCGAGGCACTAGGTGACCAGGGAAGTTGACAATGGAAAGTGAGTGATCACGTTGAATCCTCCCTTCGGGATACTGCCACTTCGGGATACTGCCACCAAGGAAGCAACAACAGGAGCCACACAGCACTGTTTTTCTTCCTAAGAAAAATCTGTTAAATCCGCCTATAGATGGGATTTAAAAAATTTGGATTTATGTCGAAATAGAGAGCAAAATTGAATTTAGCAGAACAGAGGATTTAACTTGCCTCTTTTTTGGTGTTTGGCAAGATTTATGTTAAATCTTGTTGTAAATCCTATTAAAAGTATGCTACCAAACACCCCCTAAGGGGTGAAGCAAAAGGAAAATTGTAACCCTGGTGCGAATGGATCAAGCGATAGAAAAAGGGAGAGATTCTGCTTGATCGAAGCCAAGTCGATGCTAAGACAAAAGAAGACAGTGAATGACCATGGAGTGTAATTTTATTAACATAATAAATAAATAAATAAATAAGAGTACATGCGGATAAACCTAAAAGGAATTTACATACATAGCACACAATTCTTATTTATTTAATATATCTCACGCCTAAACTTCAATATTTACGCTCATACGACTCCAATCTTTACAATCACATAAAAACATCACTATTACCACTTTTTACTATTACCACTTTTTAAAAGTGAAATACACATTTGCATGCATAATTTTAAAGCAAAAAAAAGATTGCATGGTGTTTGGCTAGATTTATGTTAAATCTTGTTGTAAATCCTATTAAAAGTATGCTAAATCTTGTTGTAAAAATTGAATTTAGCAGAACAGATGATTTAACTTGCCTCCTTTTTGGTGTTTGGCTAGATTTATTTTAAATCTTGTCGTAAATCCTATTAAAAGTATGCTACCAAACACCCCCTAAGGGGGTGAAGCAAAAGGAAAATTGTAACCCTGGTGCGAATGGATCAAGCGATAGAAAAAGGGAGAGATCCTGCTTGATCGAAGCCAAGTCGATGCTAAGACAAACGAAGGCAGTGAATGACCATGGAGTGTAATTTTATTAACATAATAAATAAATAAATAAATAAATAAGAATACATGCGGATAAACCTAAAAGGAATTTACATACATAGCACACAATTCTTATTTATCTAATATATCTCACGCCTAAACTTCAATATTTACGCTCATACGACTCCAATCTTTACAATCACATAAAAATATTACTATTACCACTTTTAACTATTACCACTTTTTAAAAGTGAAATACACATTTGCATGCATAATGTTAAAGCAAAAAAAAGATTGCATGTAAATATGAAAGTTTAGATGTGAGAGATGTAAGAATTGTGTGCTACGTATGTAAAGTTTAAATGTTAGATATGTAAAAACATAAGAATTGTGTTCTAAATATGTAAATATCCCTAAATTTAATTATAAGTTTTTGTATGCCTTCTAAATTATTAATTAAAAAAATCATTAAGATTAACAATTTAATTGAATATTTTAAAATATCATAAAACAAATTTTAATAAGATAAATATTATTATAAATAAATTGTGATAAAATATAAAATAATAATGTTAAATAATTTACATATTAAATAAAATAAAGATTAATCAATACAAGGTGTGTGTGTGAGTGAATGTGATTGTGTGTAGTACAAATTAGTACAAATGTATATATTTAAAAATAAAAAAGGTTTTTAATAAAGTAATGTTGAATCTTATGATCTAATAATAATACGATGTTAAGAAAAAAATTAGATGACTAAAAATTTAATGATGATATATAAGTCAATTTACTGTGATTTGATTTATTTTGTTCAATTTACTACCGTTCTCGTATTAACTTATTTCATGCATTATTATATGTGTTAAATTGAAGGGACAGTTCAAGGAGTAATAAGATGAAAAATAAAATCATCAGGCATCGATGTGAGTACTCATATTTTTAAAAAACAATAATTTTGTTACTTCCTCTAAACCAAACGCATCATTCAATATTGTTCAAACCAATTTTTATTGCTAATTGTCCATGATTTATCTGTTCTATATGACATATTGTTCAATGTTGAAGCAAATGTTATAAATTTCTTAGTATATTGAATGTAATTATTTAATGCATTATATATCATAAATAAATATTGAAAGATATGACAAAAAATTAATTATACTATATAGTATGCCTGTATATGTGTGTTGATAGATGGGGTTCACCTACTAATAGTATTAGTTAGACACTAAGGTATCCAACCACGTAAACTGAAAAAAGATATTAATTTTGATGTAACTTAATTAATAAAAATTTCAGACGAAACCCATATGATAAATATAGATATAAAAGGATATTGAGACAAAATATTGTGTTGTATATTATTTCTATTATGTTATATTACTTTAGTTTAAAAGCATGAATATTCACTAAATTGTTGATAACTCACGATAATTTTGATGGATATTTGGGATAAAAACTGAGTAATTAAAAAGAGAATGTTTATAGAAGATATAAATTAAAGAAAGATAATTCTTTTCATGCTTGTTTACTTTTAAATTGATTTAAACTATCTTTCATTAGTGACTCTTTCAATTTATTTACATGATTACCCGTACTATTTAGTAATAGAAATTTTGATTTTCATCTTCTGCTCCCAACTCAGTAATTTCAAATCCCTGGATCGAATCGTGACAAGTTTAAAGCATGCAGTATTCTTAATGAATCAAGATAAAAAATGAAATCATGTGACGAGTTGATATTTTAGGTTCTAGCTAGATGACATAACACGTCACACAAGGTCAGTTGCATCATGGTAACCCATACTGTGGACCACTAATTATTACATATGTGAAATGAAGGTGATTAGTTTCTCCGAAAAACAACAATTGCAATAAGAAAAAATTATTTAAAACAAAAAGATGTTATAAATAGTTTTGTTAGATGTCTACTTTTATACCGAGAGACAAGGTTAGAAAATGACTATATGATATCAAGTTCGCTAAAAGAGTAATCCAAAGCTCAATATTAAATTTCCTCATCCTTATGACCTTAGTCAGCAATCAAAAAATACCACTGCATGTTATACAAAAGAATAAATTGTTAATATGGTGTTTAAAAAAACATGGCGACCTCAGTAGTTTAAAAATCTGCTTCGCAAAAAATGAAACTAACCATAACTTCAATATATATCCACTCTCAGCAGGAAACTTTATTAGATCAATATTTCTTTTCAGTGAGCAAAAGCAATAGAAATTTGCATGACTTCACATCTTTTTATCACTAGGCATAAGATTTTATAAGCAAAAGAAGAACATTTGAAACTTTAATCACTGCACATTTCCTAAGGGCCCATTTGGAACCACTTTTGTTTTTGTTTAGGGCTTGTTTGGGATCAATTTTTTTTCCTTTGTTTTTGAAACCATGTTTGTTAAATGTGATTTTATCATATCTTTAATTTGTTTCTAGAAACAAATAAATATGTTTTTGAAAACACTCAAAATAACTTCTAGGTTTTTAAAGTGCTCAAACAAGTTTTGTTTTTTCAAAAACAATCATATCTTAATCAAACATATTTTGTTTCAAATCAAAACATAACGGAATATAAACAAGCAAAAATAGAAAATAAAAAGCAAATAACAAAAGCAAATCTCAAATGGCGCCTTAGGGCTTGTTTGTGACCAATTTTGTTCTTATTTTTGATTTTTTTTAATATATTTGTTTGATATGTTTTTTATATTTTTTTTGTTTCTAAGAAAAAATATTTTTGAAAACACTCAAAATTATATGAGGTGTTTTAAGCATTTTTAAAAAATTTTAATCTTAATCAATCATACCACATATATATTTTATTTCAAATCAAAACATAAACAAAACAATATAAGACCAAAAAATATAAAATAAAAAACAAAAGTGATCTCAAATGACTCTTAGATTTTCAATTTTTAATATGTTTTTAAAAATGTTTATTTAATGTGTTTTCCTAAAGTTTTATGTTACATTTTCAAAAATAATTAAACTTATGTTTAAAAATATTCATAATAGCTTGATACTTTTGAGTATTTTTAAAGAAAATTATCACCACCAAACATTTTTTAAATTTCAATTCAAAACATTAACAAAACAAATAAAAAATGGAAAACAAAAAACAAAGTTGAACCCCAACAAGCCCTAAATCTTTCTATCCCATTTTTCATAAAGGTTACAGTGCTTCAATGCAGAGATTCAGTCTTAATCAGCCGAAAGTAAAAGTTCTGAGTACATCTCATTACCAACAAGTTCAGCTATATCATAAAGTCCTAAGATCTAAGAATAAACAGGAAGGACTTTAATATTCACGTGAAAACGCCATTTACAAGATTTACATTTAAGCTCGAGCTTTATATCATTAAAAAAAAATACAAATGGACAACTCACAGGGTTAACGCAATAACAGCTGCCGGCACATTCAGAAGTAATCAACTGTTAAATCACTGTAGACCTACAAGAGAAAGAATAAATATTACAGACAAATATAGGGTCAAAATAGCAACATCTCGTATTATTAATTATAACTAAATTCCCGTCATACAAACTAAGCTTAATTTATAATAGTAGTCTTGACAGATAATAAGAAGATCAGTAATCGTAAATGACTCGTGAATCAACAAATGCCTACATTTTTTGTAGGGTATTGAAAAACAGAACTTTTTTTATAAAGAAAAATAACAATACAACACTAGAGAATGTTTACACAAATCTCTGAAAATTCCACTTTCAAAGCTAAATCAGAAAAATCATTCATTATCAAAAAGAGAAAAGAGCCTTCCATTAAAATAACCTACAGGTTTTATATATTTATCCTGAAACATACAAACAAAGGGCGCACAGGCAATCTGTTATGCCAAGTACAAGAAGAAACTAAAGTGGACCGGGATCAAATTAAAATAGGATCAACTAGTAAAAATCCCCACCATGATCCTATTTTAATTTCAGATTTTCATCACTGCAATTGACAACATTCAAACCGTATTTGAATTTTAGAATAGATAAACATTTCGTTAAGATAACTATTAGATGCTCTTATGTTGCAATCATTTCTACCTCCACAGCCCGGGAAGGGGTCTCTGATGAAATTAAGTTTAACATCTATTTTATTTGACTTTTCATGAAACATTGGATTCCTCAGTAGATGGGGTGCACTTTGGTTGTCACAATACACCACGTACCATTTATGTATGAATCAAAATTCCTTCATTAAACGTTGCAACCAAAGGCCCCCTTTAATTGCGTCAGTGGTAGCTATAAACTCAGCTTTGTGGTAAACAAAGGAACTATTTGTTGTAAAAAAGATTTCTAGCTAACAATACCACCATAAACTGCACAACACAACCTATGATATTAGGACCTCCAAGCAAACAGTCCTCAATACAAAGAACCTCTGATGTATGTCAAAATCCATTTCACAACTAGCCAATGCATTTGTCCGGGATTAGTTGTGCATCGACTAAACATAATTACAGAATTTACAAGATCGAGTCTAGGGCAAATCATTCCATATATTAAGCTTCCTACATTACTAGCATATGCTATAATCTGCATATATGATCGCTCATATCTGTTGACCTCAATTTTGAGGTCATTTCCTTTTCTAGGGTCTTAGGATCTAGCTCTAGGAGTTCCAATTGACCATCTTAGAAAACTAGAATTGAGACCCACACTTTTAGAAAATTCTAGTCAATTCTTATTTTCCTTTGATGTCTAGCATCTTTGGCACAAGACCATCATCTTATAGACGAGCGGTTATGGGTTATTTTGCGAAGACTCAAGGGAAAAGTTCTTGATAGGACTTCAAGCCTTAGGAAAACATCGTCACGACCTTTTCGTCACATACACACATCAAATACACCAAGTTCACAAAATTGCACGAAATCGGACTTCAATTAAGCCCAAAGGACGGGTGAAAATGCGAACTTCTTCGGATGACTTCCGACGACAAATTGGACTGCGCCAACGCGTCCGGGATACCAATTTTGGTTGGAAATGACACCCATATTGCCATAATTTCGACACGAGAAAATTGACACGCAAATCGATGAATTCGTCAAAACGACTTACGGTGGTGAAACGAACCTCGCCAACGCGTCCGGAACTTCAGAATTACCTAAAAATGATATCAATTTTTTGCTATGTTTTGATACGTGGGTGAAACACAAATTAAATTTTTTTTTTCAAAATATTAAATATTTTCTTAAATCATATTCATATTAAACCTAAATCTTATTTAGGTTCTCACCCGCTCCCTTAACCAAACATTTTCGGCCCCGCATTCGACTCAATCCCGCGGCATTCATTTTCCTCTCCCTCGACCGAGACCTGCTCGGGTGTGTCGTGCCCTAGCTCCAGCGATTTCGTTTGGGCGTGGATCGATCGAGCGATGCTGCCGAGCCCGAGCTTCTTCTCTTTTCCTCTGTCATTCGTACTTGCGGCTCGTCTCTTCGATTTCTGCTCGACCGAACGGCTTCCCAATGGTGGAACTCCATCTGGTCGGCTCTTCCTCTGCCCTAGGCTGCATTTCCTCTTGCCTTAAATCTTTCTCCTCCTCTCCCCTCACATGATTTGCTAGCCAGGGTGGCTGGTAGGTGGCTATTCTTCTCCTCTAATGCTTATAAAACCCCATTTGGGGGAAAATCAAAGGTTGGCCGAACTTTTTGAGAGGTGCTGCCAAAATCTTTTCTAAACTTACATTTTCTTCTCATCTTCTGTGGCTTGGGAGTTGTTGAAAATTTTGAGAAAGAAAGGAAGAGTTCTTGAGGAAGAAGAGTGTTGTTGGAATCCTCTTTAAGCTAGAAATTTCGAGTGCTTGTGACGTGGAGCATTTGTAGTGGTCGATTCTTGGGATCTTTAGGAAGAATATTTCGCTTGGAGTAGTCTTTTCTTGAACCATTCTTATAGTTTTATTTCAAATCTGCTAAAAGAAGTATTCCTTTTCCTCTCCTCTGTTTTGTTGTCTTGCTCGAAGCATGCTATTGGAAATCTTGAAAAAAAAAGGCTTGAATGAATATTTCCTTAGGGCAGTGAGAAATGAAATATACACATATGGATCATCTTTATTTTCTTTAATTGAAGCGTTTGAAAGTATGGCTATGGTAATCTAGAAATGCATATTTATTCCTTTATAAATGTCTATGGAAAAGCATGTTTGAGGGTTGTCTCTATTATTTTCATTGTTTGAAATGTTTGAAAGTAAGAAATGCATGATTGAAAAATATGTTTATGAATTGGAAAATTATATTTGGGGCTCACACCTTGCATTTCTTGCTGCCCCTCGATGGAAAATATGCTGGAAATCATTTTTAAAGTTGGAAAATCATATTTGGGGGCTCATATCTTACCTCTCTTGCTGCCCCTTGTTGAAATATATGCTGGATGTTATTTTTTTTTAATGCTGGAAATTACATTTGGGGGCTCATATCTTGCATTCCTTGCTGCCCCTCATCAGAATATATGCAGGAAATTCTGTTTATGAGCTGGAAAATTATATTTGGGGCTCACACCTTGCATTTCTTGCTGCCCCTCGATGAAAAATATGCTGGAAATCATTTTTAAAGTTGGAAAATTATATTTGGGGACTCATTTCATGCTCTCATTGCTACCCATTTTGCTGAAATATATGTTCTAGAATGTTTTATGAGGTAAAAACATACGTTTGGAGCTCATTTCATGCTTCCTATTTTGCCCCACGTATTGGATTTGATTCGCCCTTTTCTTGGGCTTGGTTGTGGCTTTATGAAATCTGATTTTTGTGACCCTATTTTAGTCCATTTGGTGGGCTTGGTTTGAGCTCTTTTTGAAATCAAGTTTACGCTAGAAATATTTTTTTTGGTTGGTTCCCCTTGTGCTGGGCTCGGTTTCTCTCTTTCTTTGGTCCGGTCTGGGTTTCTTTTTAATGATTTATATTGGCTGAAATCTTTTGTCGTTTTGGAATATTCCTTGGGCTTGACTTACCCATATGCTGGGCTCGGTTCGTCCCTTACGTTGGACTTGCTTTGGTCCCTTTTTGGTGATTTATGCTGGCTGAAATTCTTTATTGTTTTGGAACATTTCTTGGGCTCGAGTTACCCTTTTTCTGGGCTTGTTTCGGGCTTCCTTTAATGATTTATATTGGCTGAGGTTTTGGAATGTTTCTTGAGCTTGGTTTGCTTCTGTAGTGGTCTAGGGTTGCCCCTTTTCCTGACTCCGCCAGTAAGCTTGTTTGGGAGCTTTTAAACTGTTAAGTTTGTTGTAGCAAATTTGTAGGAAGTTGTTGTTGGCTGTAGGAGGTTCAGAATTATTGTTTGGAGAAGTTTGTAAGCTTGAAAGTGTCATTAATTGCTCTAGTTAGCTGTTTGGGTGTTGCAATTACTGTTTGCACTCAAGTAGCTGGTGATTGGGCCCATATAGATGCTGTTTGGTGGCTATTTGATGGTTGGTTTTGTGGTGATTACGTTCCTTTTGTGAGCCTTACCCGTGGGCTCTCCCCTCTCTTATTGCCTTAACCACGAGCTTCCTATTCATTTAGCTGGATTTGATTTTTTTTTTGTTTTGGGTTGCTTAACCGTGAGCTTCATATTCATTTAGCTGGATTTGATTTTTGGCTTTGGTTTGCTGCCTTAGCCGTGAGTTTCATATTCATTTAGCTGGATTTGATTTTTGGCTTTGGTTTGCTGCCTTAGCCGTGAGTTTCATATTCATTTAGCTGGATTTGATTTTTGG